CCAACCAGATCTCACCCAAAAATAAACATTCTGTCATTATTTACTCATCCTTATGTTGTTCCAAACTTGTATGACTTCCTTTCTTCAGTAGAACTTGGAAGAAGTTATTTTGAGAAAACAACGTCATTGGGATCCAATGTTGTTTGAACCCATGTATTATTCAAAATATCTTCTTTTTCTTTTGCAAAGAAAGAAAGTCATAGCCTACAGGACTGGAACGAGAAAATTCTGAATCATGACAGAATTTTTATTTTTGGGTGAACTATCTCTTTAAGGATTACGTAGCCTACTTCCAATCATGTGGCTTTTCAAAGAAATCTGATCTGTATTATTTATATTCTGTTACTTTATTTATTCATATTTGTAATTCGTTTTATAAATATTCTGAGCAGTCATTTTATGAGCTGTTTGTAATTTTTACAACTTTTTAATTTTTATAATTTTTCTTTATAGCTTTAATTTATTTTTCAGTATCTAATAGATACATTTTACTTCATGTCAGCTTTATTTAAATTAATGTAAATGATGTAAATAGTTTTAATTAACAATAAAAATACTGGATATGTTGGCATTTTTGTTGGCAGACAATGAAACTACTTTAACAATAAGACAAAATCTTTTATTCATAAAAAATTGTCTAATAAAATGCTTTGTGGAATGAGAAAAGTCTCCAATAGCATTCACTATAAAAAAAATGATATGATCAATAAGTCGCGCCTTTTAAAGAGACACTTAACCCATTTGCATTAAGCTTTGTATTTTTAGAAACCCCGTCATATTTTTGAATGGTCATGGTTTATTCCCTTATTTTCCCCTGAGATGGGATTTAAGTGTTTTACTTCCTGCTTATTATGACGTAAAAATCGTCATTTTGCGTCATAAGCAGGAAGTCACATTTCATTAAAAAGTGTAGAGACTACAAACATTAGCTATGAACATTAGCTCATTATTATTCAAGGGTGTGGGACCCACTCACCCTACAGGCCTATTACAGATCAGTGGGTGGGACTTCACTTGCAGATACTGAATCAATATCCGCCATCTTGTTTGGAAGCTAAGCTAACAAGCGCTGTGGAGATATGAAGTATGATAATGAAGGAAGAAACTAAACCTGATATGGAAGAAGAGGATTTTGCAAGTTCTGCTGTTCGGATCCGATGTTTGTGGCTATCTTTACGAGTCGCAGTATAGTGAGGAACAGCTGAGGCTGATGGAGGAACAGGAGGCGGCTGCCTGTCGCGGTGGAGGAGCTGAGGCGTACTGCTGGTGCCTGTGCTCTCGCTGTGAACTACGAATACAGATAGAGTCCGTCTTCTGCAGAGAAATTCAACGATGGCAATTTCTCCTGGACAAAATCTCTGAATCAGACGAGCACACGGACGTTTGTGTTGTGATGTGAACCATCCTAGTTTCGCCTGACTGAACATCCAGGTATCATGCAGTAATTCACCATATAGAAATAAATACAAACGAGGAGTAATTCACTAATGAGTTTGCCAATGTAACGTTAACAGGGTTTGTTGTTGTGGGAAGAAGGAGGCGGCAACCGGGGAATATTTAAACATTTTAATAGTAAAATGAACAAAGTAAACACAAAATGAAAGTATAAGCCAGCAGCCCCTCATTGACGACTGCTGTGTCGTTACACACAACAGAAAGAAAAAAAACAGAAATTTTTTTTTTTTTTTTTTATTTTTATGGTTTTAGTTTTAGTTCATGACATGTATGTTCTGTTTTGGTTCATGTTTATTTTGTTCCGGTTTGCCTGCCTGCATGTTCCATACAAGTTTCCTTGTTTGTTAATTAGTTTTACACACCTGTTTTTTTTATTCAGTTGATTACGGTCCCTTGTATTTAAGCCCTCAGTTTCCTTTGTTTCATTCTCCAGGATTGTTTATGTGTGAGTTTGTTTATTTTCTGAGCTTCTTCTGTGACTCTCCTACGTGGAATTTTAATTAAAGATTCATTTTGTATACCTTTGTGATCATGTAATGTGTTCCTAAAATTGAGGATGCAGCAGTCAGAACATAACCTTTAAATAACACTCGGTTAGTCAGGTGGGCTGCGGTGTGTCTTCAGTGGTTATAATGGGAATGTTTGCAGTGTTGGACGTGTTATGCAGCAGCTCTGGTCGGCTCCGTTTCTCCTCATCTCCATAGAGACAGATGGCAGAGGTCAGTGAGATCACGCAGCAGGCTCTTTCAATGCTATATAAAGGCAGAGCTCACCTGTGAGCCAGGTATCACACAGTCTCTCTGTCTGAGGTGTGTGTGTGTGTGTACCGGGTGTCTATCATCAGTCTCTCACAAGAGCAAATCTGAGTGTGTCCTTTAAAAGACAAAGAAGTCTCAGATCATGTTCTTCACTGTGAAACATGTTAAAGACAATTTTAGCCAGGATATTATACTATACTGTATTGCTCAACTGGCAGGTCAGGACCAAAGGCTCAAAGATATGTTGGTTCTAGCATTTGTCCAATCAAACTTTACAGTATTTTGCTGTCAATTCATCAGTCACTTGTCTGTTATGCACTATTCTCAAAAAGGAATCTCCTTTAGTTTTATGTTTGGCTGGTAAATCGCACTTCTTCTGTACTTTCTGAATTTACAATGGTCAGTTTTCATATTTAGTCTTTGTCATGTTAGTAATGTTGCATTTTGTTGGTTTTATGCAGATTATGGTAATATTAATACGTCTAACCCCTGGTTTTACAGCTGTTCTATCTGAAAGCAACTTGCAATGACATATCTTACAATGTCAGTGCATATGTTTTGTCTCAAGATGCACACCAGTAATGTTTTTTTTTTTTCAATTTACATTTATAAAAGCTGTTTGAATGTCTTTGAACTAAGGCCTAATCCTGGATCACTTCCGGCGCTTGTGCAAACCGAAGCGCCCGTGCTTTCAGATCACTTGGACGTGGCTGTGGTTACAAGAGGTAAAAACAATATAAATACTGTTCGTTTTCTCACACAAACCACTAGTTTCATGTCTTAGGCCATCAATGTGTATTTACATTTACGAGTCATTAAATCATGTTTAATTTGGACTTCTCTGTGCATGCTCTTTGAGGTGGACCCCATAGACCTCCATATGACTGACAGACAAGAACGGTTTGACCTAAAAATATCAAAATTGAAAATACTGTGGAAACAAAGACACCTACATCTTGGATGCCCTTGAGGTAAGCTAAAACATATCAAAAAATTAATTTCAAAGTCAACTATCCTTTTAAGTGTGAATTAATTTGATCAAAAGTGACATTACAGGCATTTACATGTTACAAAAGATTCCTATTTTATATTAATGCGGTTTCTTTTTTTGTTACTTTTCTAAATTTCCATAAAAAATATTAAGCAGCACAATGGTTTTCAACATTGATAATAATAATAAAAAGAAACATTTCTGGAGCAAATCAGCATATTAGAATGATTTCTGAAGGATCATGTGACACTGAAGACTGGAGTAATGATGCTGAAAATTCAGATTTGCATTTTAAAATATATTAACGTAGAAAACAGTTCTCAAATCTATCACTTTTGAAAGACAGTATATGTCTGCCTTTGAAATTCAAAAACTCTCTATCATTTTCCTTTATATGGTTTCCTTTTGCTTCATTTCCTCCTCCCTTTTCTGTGGTTCTAAGGATTGGCAACAGTTCTATCAGTTCCTTTTGAATATGACAATTTTATCGTTCCCTTCATGTTCTTGTCCAGGATTCAGGGTGATGTGTACAGCATAGAATAACAGCAAAAAACACAAATAAGTGACTGCCTGTTGCTTGCATATTTTAACTGTTAAGGTATTGTGGTTGTTTCCTGAGGTCTTTGGAGTGTTTGCTTGACCTTTATCAGGGTCGTGCCATACTTATGAAAGAGGCTCTGGGAGAAAGAAGCCTAAAGTGTTCAATGGACTGATGAAAAATCCTGATGATGAATACTAAGTTTCCCCACACAACCTTGTTTTCATCAGTGTTAAATTCAATATGGCGCCTAGCCTAAAGGTCTATTAGGGGTGTGTGTCAATCAACTCCCTTGTTCAGACATTACTAGTAGAACTGGAAAGCCATGATGAGATTTGGGAAGTTCAAATCCCAAAACCCACTGGGCAAAAATAAATAGTCAATCGTTCCTTAGCAAGCCAAGCAGCACTACTCTCTCTCTCTCTCTCTCTCTCTCTCTCTTTTTTTTTTTTTTTAAGAAAGAGATATATTGGTATAGTCACACTGAAACCTCAGCTTGTGAACGAAAGTGCCACAGCCCTGTGGCATCTGTGCTTTTTAGCAGCGAGAACGCCTGTGTTTAGTCATTTTTGAAAATGCAGGCTACACAGGTACACAGGACACATATCTGGGACATTGCTCGCTTAAAGGAGAAAACTGTCATGACTAAAAGCTCACTGCCATCAAATCGCATGCCCTTTGACGTCTGTGTACCTCAACATTCAGGACAGTGTCGGATCTGTTTTGGTGAAAAGTGCACTCGCTCCTGCGGCGAACAACCGCTAGTTGAGTGTGATGTTAAAGGACTCGATTAGTCCAAATACTTGGATGCATTTCAACAGTCGCTGCACACCTCTACATTCATCTTAGGTAGGAAAAGTCTGCCATCTTCTGGCTGAGATCTTTCAAAATGCATGTACAGTACGCTTTGGTTTCAAAACATAATAATGACATGGTATCGACGACTGACCAGCCACATTACACGAGCTAAACAACATTCCTGTCTGAAGTGTCTTTAGCACATTTCAGATCTCTTTAGCACGACTCGGTTTAATCTTTGAATACACACTAATGAGTTGTTAACCAAGCTACTCAAGTAAATAACATGATTCACTCTTTGTGCTTTTCAGTGCCTGTAGCAAAGTACTATATAACCTCTTAATGGATGAGCTCATGGCACATCAGAAAAGATAACTGGAAATAATATATTTCATTGGAAATAATCTTTTAAAATATTCTTCCAGTGGTGGTTATAAACCTATTGAGACCAACACATCAGTCATCGATAAGAACAAACTTTAATACAATGCTATTTTCACATCACAGTCACTGTACAGCGTTTATATGTATAATTTATGCGTGTATGTGTGTGTTAAATTACTGTATATATATCATATATATATGATTTCTGTAGAGTCTTGGGTGCTTTTATAAGCTCAGTTTTGGTTTTCTATGACAGTCTCTGGCAGAAGGCTGAGTTTTAGCTGCTCTTGTCCAGATAATCAAGATTAGGGGCATCTAGACGCTGCTCCATGTCCTTGTTCTTGGCAAACTCTTTGAGCATGTCCATCACCTCGCCCTGGTACACATCAGGTGTCGGCTGAGCATCTGAGGGAAGGAAGACGTGTGCAAACTCATTTCATTCCTTTATACATGTTCCCTGGTGTTATTGTGCACATTACACCACTACTGTTACTCCTCAGACAATATTCAATGAATAAAATCAAAGTCAATTTCATGCCTGAGCACCGCTCTACGCCCCTGAACATCTATTTTATTTGTCTGTTCATACCTGTAGCCCAATAGTAGATGTCCCAGTCATTGCTGGGTTCATTGATGAGTCTGTCATACTGCTTTAGCTGGGATTCACTCATTGTATTCAGGTACCGCTTTGCAAAAAGGCTGGAAACAAAACAAATAATTAAAAAAAAGTAGTCAGAGTCGCTTTCCCTTGATTTTGAATAACATGGAACAATGTTATTTTAGTATCACAGAAATACTATTATTATATTTTTTATTAATATTAAAATTTTAGTTCAAGTTTAAATCATTTATTGTGTTTTTATAATTTATATTAAACTTGTTTTATGTCTACAGTATATAGTCTTATTTCAGTTTTAGGTATTTTAGTACATCAAATTATAATTTTCAACCAATTAAACAATTTTTTTTTAGTGATTACATAAGACAATTATTTTATTTTACGTCAAAATAGTTCACCCAAAAATGTAAAATTGTTTAAATATCTCGTTGTTTATATGTCTATGTTGTGGTTTAATATGCTAAATGTGCAAATTCATAAGTCAACACCATTGAAAAGTCAAGTTATCTCTGTATATTTTTCTGTTGATATGAAAAATCATGTACATTTAGCATTATAACGGGTTTATGATGTATATTACAATGTTATGATGAACTATATGCCTTTCTCCAGTGACGTTCTCTTCAAAGTCTTTCTAAGGATGCTGATTGTTAGAAGGACAATGACAATGATGTCAGAGATGGTGACCCATTATTAGCTGTTTGATAACGTAGTCAAGCCAAAGGCTAATCATATCAGTTACCGTTATATGTCCAACATTGTAGAGAGCGATATATAAAACGCATTACCATTCTGATACAGCGACTTAAATACGATCCTGTCTAATTTAATCTTTAAGTCCTTCTTAATCGATTCAAACATATATGGCTGACTTAAACCAGTATTTCCAATTGCCATTGTGCAGCGTTTACAGTAATGACGAGCGGGCGAATCTTTGAGCTGGTGTGAGTGAGTGGAGGCAGGACTCATAAGCATATTCATGGATCTGTGCACTAAATGAAGCTAGAGTTACATTCAAGCTATTAAGCTATTGAGATTCAAGGCACGGTGAGCCTTTTTTTTCACAAAATAAAAACATTGAAATATGTAATTTTGGTGATCAAAGATGAGTTTTAAGAGATAAAATGATTGGCTACAGGGGGACTTTAACCTACTAACCTCAGAAGAATGCAGTTCTCCAGCATGCCTCTCTTGCGGCTCTCATACAGGAGTCTTTTCTTCTTGATCTCCAGGGACTCGCCTGTCCTCTCCTCCCATGGTGGCAGTGGGATCTCAATGAGGTTTGGCTCTGGGGCATCACCTCGGTAATCCCGAGAAATCACTGTGCCAGCAGCTGGACGCAGTGATGCTCGGCAAACCGAACTAACCACCTGGGATAGATCAAGATCAAACAATGTTAAAAATCTCCTCTGGCCTTGACTCTTATCAACATAAAGTATTTTACATGGCTGTGTAAGTTTTATCACACATAATCAAAAGTAATCAGCAATCCATGTAAGCATTATATTAGATTCATTTAATGAATTATATGAATGCCAATTAATAACGTCACAATAATCATCCCGTAAAAAGGGGGTTTGGCATCATTATAGTGTTTTGTCTCAAGACATATTACATCATATCCCATATCATATATTTTTGTAAAAAAAAAATAATAATAATACATTTCTAAAAAATAAAATATATCTATGACATTATATTTGGCACAGAAAAGAGGACATCTTCCATACCAGGACTTTGTATGACCCAGTGTTTTTTTTAATATCATCGATATTCTAGTGTTACAGTTTGTGTTTTTATAGTTTTGGTTTTCATTCTAATTTTAGTTAAATGATTATGCACACACATACTAAACCTGTAAAGCACAGGTGTCAAACTGTCCTGCAGAGTTTATATATATATTAAAACCATAAATATCTAGAAATAAAATATTGTTTTAAATCAGTACAGTGAGCAAAATTAATTTCTGTAAGTTATCTCAAGAGATGAAGAATCTGTTGCATTGTTTAGGAGACTGCATTATAACAAAGAAGTGAAATTAACGTTAGTCTTGTGTGTGAATTCAGGGGTTAGTTATACACTGATCTATATAGAATTACGTCACTATAGATCAGTGGTAATAACGCTGAAGATGTTATATCCGTCCTTGCTCAGACATTCAACACAAAACGACGGGATAAATATCCAACTTTTCAAACCCCTGGTATAATTTTAATTGTAACGTTACATATTAGCTGTATGATATTAATTTGTGATGAGCTCAGAAAGATGTCCTTGTTATGCCACTTCAGAATCGTGAGGTCAAATTAGATCTTTAAAACCTGTCGCCACATATGAATGCAAAGTAAATAAACGTACCTTTCTTGCAATAGCTGCTGAAAACATGTTATCGTGAAGTATCTTGTGTAATGTGTGACTGATCAAGTGCTTGCTTGGCTGACAATGTGACAATGTTTTATTTTGAAGGAGAGTTTATGCAACTGTTTCACAACAGAAGAACAGGAAACGTAGTGGAGCGGGCGCCATGTTGGTAAGGTCAATATCATTTTTCCATTTCATTCATTTCATTTCTATTTCGGTCAATATCATTTTTCTATCTATGCGGTGTAGGTATGACAAGTGTGTTTTTCAAACTTGAGTTTGTCCTTGACCAAAGGGCGGACACGTGGAACACAAGTTTAAAAGGTAAATCCTAATAAAAAATAAAAGCTATGGTGTTTCCTAGGGACTGTATTTCAGTGAACACTTGTGAAAGCGGATGGAGGTTTTCAGCTTTATATAAATATTTTAAAGGGACAGTGTTACTAATTATGAACGGTAATTCTCCTGTATGTTCATTTCTTTTACTTTTATTTAACCTAAAATATAAGCACAAAATCTGACTCTGAATGTCTAATTGAAAATAAAGTTATAAAAGTTAACACAGTACTTTAACACAACATGGATTTTAAATGTTTTCAGCAACAATTTTTACAGCAGTGTTATTTTAGAATTATATAAAAAATGTTAGTTATTAATATTATGAATTAGCCTTTATTTTTATTGTTTTAATACATTTAAAAGAAATGCGTCACTTTACTAGTTACTTGGAAAAAGTAATCTAATTACATAACTCTCATTACTTTTAATCGTTAACCCAAACACTGGTTCTTCTAACACTTGACCGGTGTGTCATTGCAAAGTTGTGAACCATTGTTTAGTAAAAAGCTGTGAAAAATAAATCTCTTCTTGTGTAAATGAAACAAAATGACAGCACTCAGGTTTAAAAACAATAACGCTAAGTTTTTAGAACGAATTTTTTTTTTTTGTACAAACAAACATGTACAGTAACTCAAATATCAAGATTCACTCTGTGATTGGAAAAGCGCTTCCCTTTCAGGATTCCCTAATTATTTTAATAACACTAGTTAAACACAGGTTCAGAATGTAATGATTGGTACAACAGAGATATTTCACTCTTTATTTAACAAAATGCTAACAAACAAAACGCTAATAAACAAAATGCTAATAAACATTCCACGTAATAAGTTTCTTCAGATGTATTTTAATGACCCAGGCGTGTTTGTGTTGAAGCCCACGCCTGTATATCTTCCATTACGGTCAAGTCTTTGAAAATACAAGAGGCCGAGCAGGATTTTCATCTTTAATTGCACAGAAAGCTCCTCATTTCTCCAGCGGTGCATAATTCAACAACTTCTCGATAAGATCCACATGGGCCAGAAGCATCCGGCGACAGCAGTATCTTTTCAAACCCAGAGCATCGAGAGCATCACTGTGAAAATGAGCAAAGAATGAGATTCAGTTCACCGTAAGACATGCAGAGAAATCAGACACTGATGGTCGTTTCATGAACTCACCCCTCTGTATACTCCGCTTGTAGAAGACCTAAATACGCCTCCCATTTGTTCCCAACGATTTTCCCACAAGTGAAGCAGCGAACAGGGATGATCATGGTGAAGGACAGGGGCCTGAGAAGAAGAAAAAGTAAGTGTTACGCCACATAAAAATAGCAGCTTGTAATTATGACACAAGTCAAAAAGTCGAAATTATGACAAATTATATGATACATAAGTTGAAATTCTGAAATATTACTTGAAAACCCATCATTTTGACCTTTTAGTTTCAAAATTGTCAATTTTAACCTCTCAAATATAAATTATAATAACCTCAATCAAAATTAACAATTTTCATGTCATATTAATGATATTTTTGTATACACTCTCTCTCGATTGAATTACGCCGAAAAAATACGATACTGCCAAGATAAACATGCATCACAATAATGCACGCAGAGATATAAACAAGCATATAATAAGCGCAGACTTACTAGTAACTCGTAGAAAAATATGTATTATCGAGGTTCGGCGCGAGGTAATTTCCTTAGTAACAAACCCACGACTAAACTTTAACAATTAGTTTATTTTATTATTACTCAAGATTGAACAAAATGTAAGAAATATTACCAAAACAACCTCACACGCTACACGCTTTTCTCTTGTGCCGCTAAAACTAGACGCACTTCAAATGCGTAATTTCCGCATTGCGTTTGTCAAATACACACGGGCGGAAACAAGATTATGACAACAAGCGTTCCGCGCCCTTCTTCATCTTCTTCTTCTATGGATTCTTCTTCTTCTTCTTCTTTGAGGTTATTGGCGGTTCGCATTCTTAAAAAGAGCATTACCGCCATCTACTGCAGGAATAGATCAGAGACACACTTATACCACAACTCCCAGAACAATCAGGACTTGTGCTTTCAATGTTGCTGCGTGTTCAGCTCCTCCATTTACAGCCAAAGTCCATCATCTTCCAGAGAAGGATACTGATACTAATAATACTAGCCTATCTATATTCTAAAGATCAAATTTGTTCTACTTAAAAACTTTATTATTAACCTACTCCCCTCTGCTGAGTTTAAAACCATCTTTAACGTTAATTGTTGATTATCTTTCAACTTAAATTCTTCAATCATTTTACTTCTTTCCTCAGAATATTTATTACACTTAATAAGTACATGCTCCACTGTTTCTCTGATTCCACACCATTCACATAATCCTGTAGGATGTTTTCCAATTATTTGCATTGTTGAATTAAGTCCTGTATGTCCCAGTCTTAATCTAGAAATAATACAGTCTTCCTTCCTTCTCCCAAATGAATTCCTTCCTCTACCTACCAATGGTTGTATTAAATGTAAATGTCTACCTTTTTCCTCATTATCCCAATACGATTGCCAATTTTTATTTATCTCCCTTTTAATTATTGATTTCATTTCTAATTTACTATACCCAATTTGAATATCTATATTTTCCTTTGCCATAGAGTGTTTTGCTAGTTTATCTGCTGCTTCATTTCCAGCCACTCCAGTATGTGCCGGAACCCATAAAAACTGAACTATCTTATTTTTTTGTTGCATCATAAACAATATCTGTAATATTTCCAACACAATATCCTGTCTAGTATCTGATTTTTGAGCTTCTAGGCACATCAAGGCTGAACTTGAATCTGAGCATATTAAAGTTTTATTTATCCCCATTTCACTTATTTTATTAATTGCTACCATAATTGCTAGTAGCTCTCCTGTAAACACTGATACATGGTCTGATACTCTTTCCCCTCTTGCCACTTTCAATCTGGGAATGATATATGCTACCCCTACTTGTCCCTTCTGTGGATCCTTAGATGCATCTGTGAAAACCTTTATATATTGTTCATATTTAATACCAATATACTCTTTTGCCATCTCTGCTTCCGACATCCTCTGTTCTTTTTCTTTTCTTGATTCCAATAAGAATAGATCTACATATGGTTGAGGTAAAATCCATAATGGTGTTATTGGTAATATTACTGCTGGAATAACTCTATAATCATCTAATTTCATACTCTGAACTAAATCCTTAATAATCCAACCAAAACTGTTAACTTTTCCTTTCCCATATTCCCAACATGTTTCCATTATACCTTTTGTTGGATGATTATCCTTCTGCCCTTTTAGGTTTATCCAGTATGTCAGTATCAATTGTTTCCTTCTTAAGTGAATTGGCATCTCCCCCATCTCCACCTGTAAAGCTGAAACAGGAGATGACGGATAAGCTCCACAACATATTCTCAAAGCTCGTGATTGGATTCGTTCCAATTTTCCTAGCTGTGACTTAGTTGCTGTTCCATATGCGATACAACCATAATCTAGTACTGCTCTTATCATTGTTGAATAAATTGTGTTTAATGCAAACCTATCAGCTCCCCATTCTCGTCCTGAAATACACCTCATTACATTTAAGATCTTCTTACATTTATCCTCCATCTTATTTATGTGTACATTCCATGTAATCTTTGTATCAAACCACATACCTAAAAACCTTATCACTTTAACTTGTTCTATCTCTTTGTTGTATAAATTAATCTTTAGATCAATACTTGATCTTTTATTTGTAAAAAATATATATTTGGTTTTCTCTACTGAGAATTTAAAACCCCATTTGTAAGACCATTCCTCTACATTTTTTAAAGCTGCTTGCATTTTATTAACAATATACTCTACATTCCTACCTCTAAACCACAAAGCTCCATCATCCGCAAACAGTGATTTATTTACATTCTTATCTATTGTTGCAAATACATCATTAATCATAATAATAAACAACAAAGGACTTATAACACTACCCTGCGGAGTTCCATTCTCAATTATTCCTTTCCTTGATATATATTCTCCAATCTTCACTTTAATATTCCTTTCAATTAAAAACTCTTTAATCCAATTATATAATTTTCCTTCTATTCCAATTTGATCTAACTTTATCAACAATCCCTCCTTCCATAACATGTCGTAAGCTTTTTCAACATCAAAGAAAACCGCTATTAGAGTTTCTTTATTTATCAATGCTTTCCTTATATCTGATTCCAATTTAACAATTGAGTCCATTGTACTCTTTCCATGTCTAAAACCATTTTGATATGGGGAAAAAAAATTATTCTTCTCCATATGATACATTAAACGATCTGTAATCATTTTTTCCATAACTTTACCTAGATGTGATGTTAACGCTATCGGTCTGTAGTTTAAAGGGATACTTGGATCTTTACCTGGTTTTTTAATGGGAATTATTACTGCTTCTTTCCATCTCTTAGGTAAAATCCCCTCCTCCCATACCTTATTATAAAACTGTAGAATAATTTTAAGAGATTCATCACTTAACTTTTTTAACATTACATAACTAATTCCGTCCTGTCCAGGAGTTGAAGCTTTAGTGTTTTTTAATGCCCTCTTTAATTCTGAATATGAAAAAGGCGCATCTAGACAACTATTTGTTACTCTCTTTTTTCTAATATAAATGGATGTTCTTTTAACAACTTCTCCCTCTTTTCCTTACATTCCCTCATCAAATTATCTGAACTATTTATTTTTGAGAATTCTTTCCTAAACATTTCTGCTTTTTCCTCATCACTTATTGCTATTTCTTCCCCAATACATAACACAGGGTACTCATACTCTCTTCGAAGACCACTCATCTTTTTAATCATACTCCATACTTCCTCAATTGGAGTATTTTTCCCTATTTCTTCACAATATGATCTCCAATACTTTTTCTTCATTTCCCTTATTGTTCTTCTGGTTTCTGCTTGAGCTTTTTTATATATTATCATGTTTTCCCAATTATGAGTTTTCCTTAAAATTTTAAATGCTTTCCTTTTCCTTTTAACTGCTATTGCACACTCCTCGTTCCACCATGGAACTATTTTCCCCACCCTCTTTCCCTTGCTTTTTGGAATGCATTCTCTAGCAGCATTCTGTATCACTGATATTAATTCTGCATATATTCTTTCAATTATTATTCTTTCATTCATTTTGATCATTATTAATCCTTCCTCACATAATCTTTCAAATTTTTCCCAATCTGCTTTCTCATACTTCCATTTTCCTGTATTTCCTTTCTTTATATTCCCTACCTCCTTATTTACAATTGAACTTAATATTGGGAAATGATCACTACCCACTGTACAATTTAATACCTCCCAATTAATTATTCCCCCTAATGCATTAGAAACAATAGTTAGATCTATTGCAGATTCCCTGCCTGAATTTACATCCATTCGTGTTTTTGTTCCATCATTTATACAAACCAAATTATTCCTTTCCATCACCTCTTCAATGACCATACCATTTGCATCTGTCAATAAACCTCCCCATAAAGTATTGTGGGCATTAAAATCCCCGCACCATATTACTCTACTTCCTCTTAATCCCGTTATTGTTTCCATACCTTCTTGTGTTAATCTTTTACACGGATTATAAAAGTTAATTATAATGTAGCTTTTATTTCCAAACCATATTTCTACTACTATATATTCCATTGCTTCCCCCTTATCCAAAACTCTATAAGGTATTCCCTCTTTAACAAAATTAACACATCCTCCTCCTTTTCCTTCTTCCCGATCTCTTCTAACACTTATGTATCCTTTTAAAACAAATTCTAGTGTAGGATTCAACCATGACTCTTGAATACAAATTACATCTGGCTTATCTTTCATTTGGTTTATATATCCTTTAAACTCTTGACCATTAGCACAAAGGCTCCTGGCATTCCATTGTAAAATATTTAACATACTAACCAACCCCTAAATCCTGGCTTGACTGAAATTCTGTATTAAGATTTTTCATTATATCTTCACATTTCAATCCCTTAATATCTAGAAATCTCTCTGCTGCCTTTACTATTATTTGTAATTTTTCTGTTCTCCTTTCTGTTTGCGCTGTACAATTAATTACCTCCACCATGAATAGTACAAAATTTCTCTTACTTGCTAGCATTACATCTTCTGGTACTCTGTCTTCTTCTTCAATTCTTCTTGCACCTTCATTTCTTTTTCCATATTCCAATCTCTCAGTCTCCTTTTGCCTATCTCTATCTTTTACTATTTTCACAGCTTCGGCATAAGTTCGATTGTTTCTTGCCTTTTCTTGTTGCACTTCCACAGCCTTTTTCCTCACCTCACAACCTCCATATGCCACATTGTGACTACCTCCACAGTTACAGCACTTCAATCCTACTCCTTCTCCACACTTCCCAAATTCATGTTCCCCTCCACATCTCGCACACCTCATTTTAGATTTACACACTGACGCAGTATGTCCATATCTCTGACAATTATAACACCTCAAAGGAGGGGCTATATACTTCCTAATCGGATAACTAATATAACCCATCTTAATCCGATCTGGCACTTCTTTTCCTTCCAATTTTAGACGAACTGACAAGCTATCCATTCTTCTACCTTCTCTGTTCATTTGCAGTCGGACTGCATCTATGACCTTTGCCCCTTCCAGATTCTGTTTTAATTCCTCCATAGTAACTCCTAACGGAATTCCATTTATTACTCCATATACCCATGACTCTTGTCCTACAATCTTGTAATTCAATACCATCTGTTTCCCAACTGTCTTTATTTTTATGGCTTTATTTTTTTGCTCTTCATTCCTACATGCTATCATTAAAGCTCCATCTTGTAGCACTTTTGCGAAAGCTATCTCTCCTACCAGCTTTTTTAGTTCATATGTCAATGTCAATGGATTAACTCCCGAAACTCCTAACTCTCCTTTAAACTTCAATATTATCCTAACTTCATTCTTGTTATTACTTCGTTCCTCCCCATCTTCCTCACTAGCTATTGAACTGCTTTCTGATCTTTCCTCCTTATTTTTCCTCTTTTTATTAACCTTTTTTCCTGTTTTGACATTTGTCCATCCTACCTCCATATCATCTTCCTCTTCACCTGTTTCTTCCATTCGAGTCTCTGATCCATTCCCACTTCGATTTCCTCGATCTCTCTTATTCGTATTTTTTGACTTATTTGAATTGGCCGCCGCCATCGACTACTCGCATTGTCCGTCCCTCCAATAGGTGATCTGGTTACAAGCACAACACAGCGCAAGAGCTTCTTCTATGGATTTATTGCATACCAACTTTATGTTGCACACCGCCACCACCTGTGCTGTAGAGTGAAGTGATTTCAGTCTAGATGTATGTAAAGATGTCTATATTCTAATCCTAAGACCACTATTAATGATTTTTTAAAACCTAGGACAAACATGTATTCTCAACTGTTTCCTTTACTTGGCATATTTCACCTGTACCATGTTTCCCTATAATAGTGTAGAATTAAGTTTTGAATGTCCCATCTTTAGTCTTAGTTCAAATAACCTGATTATCTCTATTTAAATTTTGTGTCCATGTACTTTGTCTTACAGTATTATGTACTGTATCTTTTAAAAATGTCTTCCTGTTTTACATTCATTCCAATTTCTTTGCCATTTCTGGTTGCAAGCTTCTTTAATGATACTTTTTTTCTTCCAAATGCAACTGTAATAGTAGGGATGTTCAGTTTAAGTGACTCTTTGACCATTTTATCAGAGCTTTCATTAACTGGTATATTAGCAATGTGCTGGTACCCAAACAAATTGTATTATTGTTCTAGTTTGCCTAAATCGATACAAAATATTCAATATTTCTATAGATCTAACTGTTTTAGATTTGCTAATTCCCTGTTAAAAGTCACTGCTACATTTAGTAAATATAAAGGAAAAATAGCAAAGAAATCAGTCTCAAGTAAAAAAAATAGGCTTTAAGCAAGTTTTGAATTCAGCCTTCAAAAACGGAAGGAAAAAAAACACGGAGTCTGGGAAAATATAGTTCATTGTCCTTTAATAAGGCCATCAAGTCACAAGGGAGCCATCTTACTTTATTTCACACGAGGAACAGCAGAAAGGCAGCGGGCGAGGGTGTGTGTAAAATACATATGGCAGAAGGGAAGAGACACAGAGGGATAGGTTAACTTCAACAAATAAAATCATAATCATTCATCATAATCACCACCACCACCACCAAGACAACCACCATGTTGCCACATCATCATCAACATCATTACCATCAGTATCACAACTAATAAATAGTCTTCTTTCTTTTAAATACAGAGTTCTATTGGAATTATTGCATTATATACGCACTTTAAAGAAAATGTCATTTTCCGTAACAGTATGTCATGTGACGTGTAAGTGTATATTGTTCGTGTCTGCATGCATTTAGGGATTGTTTCTGTTGTGTAAGAGCGCTCATCATAGTGTAACTGTGAAATTGAAGCTGTTGGACAAAAGCCGTCATAATCTACGTTGCATCTATATTGCATCACACATCTATTTCCATTGGCCAGCTTCAGAAAATCATCAACATCGTTCAAACAAACAAACAAAACAAAAAAGATTTTGAAATGGCGCTATGCAGTCCACAGGCAAGGTTACTGAATTATAGAATGACTTACTTTTGGTTGGGGATGATGACAGATGATGAACACAGATCATTTACTGCAATTATTTCTACACCATCTCTCAACAATACAGGCCTAACTGCAATAGATGTTAGAGCCATGTACTTGTACACATGGATTTGCATTAGCATTTGAATATGAAACCAATTGCTTTATATAAATAGCATTTAATTTCCATAAACTCCAGAAAACCTCTGTTTTGTTAACCTTGAATCATGAATGCACTTTAATATTGTCTTATCTTACAATTGGCAGTTATGGGTTTTGAGACCAGCTTGGAAAAAACTTTTGTATAACTGTATTCACGTCATCATTATGGCATGGACGATGATGTAGTTTGATCATTGAACCAGCAGGCAGAAGTGACTAGTTGAGGACATAGATATGGAACTGTGTTGAATGCTATGTGAAAAAAGTGTTTGGCCTAAATGCATCTCTAGCTTGCTTTAGCTGGCGGTAACAAACTCTGAAATTAAAGCACAGCTTAAAATTAAGACACCTAGTGACTCAACACCCCCCTTATATAAACTTTAATAGTCTGTGAACTAATCAACCCCCGCCATTTAACAACCAATCACAGGTCTCGGGTCAGTTTTTCTTGGCTAATACGATTACGCCCACCAATACAGCTCCAAGGGCGATGACAGCTCCTCCAATCAGGAAAGGCTTCAAACTTTCTAAGGCTTCACAGCCACAGCTACTTCCTGCCGACTCCGTCGCCCCCTGTTGGTCGGTGGCTCCATCTTCCGCGGGCTTCTCGGGTTCCGCGGGTTCGGCAGAGACGGGGTCTGGCTTCGGCGGTGGGGCTGCCTCCTTCTTCTCTGCTTTGGAGGCAGACTTCGGCGCTCCTTTAGCTTTTGCTTCCATGTGGGAGTGGGATCAAGGAATATCGCAGGTGTTCTTGGGCTTTCTTTTAGGAATACAATTATAAAAGAGAGGATGAGATTTAGGTTTGAAATTCATACATATGCACAATAAAAAGTTTGGGTTCGGTACTAAGATAAAAAAAAAAAAAGTCTCGTATGTTGACCAAGTCTGCATTTGATAAAAAATACAGTAAAAACAGTATTATTGTGAAATATTGTTACCATTTAAAATAACTGTTTTCTATGTGCATATATTTTAAAATTAGGACTGGGCAACGATTAATCGCGATTAATCGCATCCAAAATAAAAGTTTGTGTTTACATAATGTGTGCATAGTATGCATGTATATATTCAAGAAAAATGTGAGAAAAAAATTATCTAATTTAAAAAAGTAGCATGTGTGTGAAATAGTAATCTTTTGTATCATTATAATTGTCTTTACTGTCACTTTAGATAAATTTAACGCATTCTTGCTAAATAAAAATATTAATTTCTTTAAAAATATTCGTACTGACCCCAAACTTGTAAATGGTATAGTACAGTAATAATAATAATAATAATTCATTACATTTATATAGCGCTTTTTTTTCTGGAAACTCAAAGCGCTTCACATAGAGGGGGGGGGGTCTCCTCAACCACCACCAATGTGCAGCATCCACCTGGATGATGCGACGGCAGCCATATTGCGCCAGAACGCTCACCACACACCAGCTACTGGTGGAGAGGAGACAGTGATGAAGCCAATTGGTGTATATGGGGATGATTAGGAGGCCATGATGGACAGAGGCCACTGGGCAAATTTGGCCAGGATGCCGGGGTTACACCCCTACTCTTTCGAAAGACATCCTGGGATTTTTTATGACCACAGAGAGTCAGGACCTCGGTTTAACGTCTCATCCGAAGGACGGTGCTCTTTTTGACAGCATAGTGTCCCCATCACTTTACTGGGGTGTTAGGACCCACACAGACCACAGGGTGAGCACCCCCTGCTGGCCTCACTAACACCTCTACCAGCAGCAACCTGGCTTTCTCAGAAGGTCTCCCATCCAGGTACTAACCAGGCTCAGCCCTGCTTAGCTTTAATGGGCAACCAGTCTTGGGCTACAGGGTGATATGGCTGCTGGCAGTAAAAAAAATCACATGCAGAGAAGTTAAAGGAATAGCCAAAAAATAGTGAAAAATTCTAAAGAATAATTTCACACTCGTTCATGGTGATGCACCAAAAAGCACAATAAAAATACCATAAATGTCTTGTGTACTATATTTAAACTTGCCTGACATTTTTATTAATGACACACGTGAGAACCAAAAGTAAAGACACCAAACATCCATTTTTTTTCTTTCATTTTTCTCATTTGTAAATGACATTTAAGAGCTTTAAAATTTAAGAGCTAACTGCATGTTTCTAACACAACTATAATAAATATAGTCATATGGACTGCTTTTATAATTAGTTTTCATTTATTTATTTATTGGACTGAACTGTCATTATATGAAGAAAAAGAAAACTGCTGAATAGTATTTTTATTATTTTTTAAAGACCCCACATGCATTTGGAATGTAAATAATATTAAATAATAATGACAGAATTGTCATATTTTGGATCAACCATTAGTTTTATTTTTGTCGCCCAAACGGAATTACATCACATGAAACATTTGAATCTTTGACCTTGATATGGCAATGACATAATATGAAGTGGCCTACTGACTGAGTCTGCCACATGCTTTCGACAGTCATTGCATGTGTGTCTTTACTCTTTAGTGTGTAAAAGCTCTTTTGTAGTGTCTGAGACAAAAGTGACAAGTAACCCTTAACATAAGTCAAGCCTCATCATTGCACCCACCAAACATAATGAAAAAAATGTTTCTGAGGCATTAAACATCAGAATGACATTTAGTTAATCTGCAGCATGCAGAAATATCCCTGTGAATCTGCATGAGTCATACAAGGGAGGGGAGCAATGTACATTAAAAATAAATGAACGCTAAAAAGAGGTCTGAGACTGACTAAGCCATGCAGGAGAATGCAGAGAAAGCATAAAAGAAGGACTGAAAAAATGGGTTTTTGGAGCATGTGATGGATGTGATTTCTGTAGTGATGCAGTTATGATGGCTGCACAGGCCACAGCAGCGCATCACATTCTCTCTCAGTTTTGATGGATATATATCTCCTCAGAAACATCATGATAGATGGAGCTTACCTTCTTTATGTTGCTTCTTGATCCTTGCTCACCTCTTCTTCTTTTCAAAGAAGGGTGGAGAGACGGAGGATGAGAGACCAAGAGATACGCTCTGCAAGAAGGCCCAAGTCCGTCCTCAAGGAGAAATAGAATCAAAGGAAATGGAGTGATGGAGGACACAGCAGCAAGAGGAGGAGGAGAGGCACTGGGATGTACCACTCCATCTGTGAAAACAGGGGTGCATATAGCGTAGGGTGTGTGTGTGCTCTCTTACAGATTGAATTGGTAAAATGGTTTTTGCATTGAAGTTTTATTTTATTTTAATTTATTAACGCCATATAGATGCCCTGAAGCAAAAAACAGACATTTATTATGCTTGGACAATAATTCCCTTATAAAAAACAGATTGGGGAGTGCTATAGAACAGGTTTCTCCAAACCTTTAGCTCACTTGCATTGTAATGCCAGTCAAGAAGCATTACGTCAAATTCCAACACACCTCAAAGACTGTTTGGTATGGACATCTATCTATCTATCTATCTATCTATCTATCTATCTATCTATCTATCTATCTATCTATCTATCTATCTATCTATCTATCTATCTATCTATCTATCTATCTATCTATCTATCTATCTATCTATCTATCTATCTATCTATCTATCTATCTATCAATCTATCAATCAATCAATCAATCACCTGGCAATTAAATGTTTTATGAATGTATTTATTAATTAATTGATTTCTTGTCCTTTTCTTTTGGCACACCCTGCTGATTACAAAGGGTTCAGAAATTCAGGAAATGACGTCGTTCCAGTTCCACGCCCGGCATACTATTTCGGAGTCTCCTCTGTATTCACCAAACCCGTCCCAGCACAGCGTGCCAGTGGTTCCTAAGCAGCGGAAAATTGCAGCGTCGTACGTCAGTAGCGCAGCGCCTCTTACTACAACCAATGGATGACGTGGGGTACGCCAGGAGCGCAAGTGGAAACGGGATACGGCTTCAACAGGCGCAACTGGAATTGAGAATCGCAACGACGGCGCTTATATGGAAAAAAGATCGCAGGGAAGATATACAGCAATCAATCTGACTGGGACCTGCTGCGGACAGTGCGGGCTCTGGAATCACCGCACGATTTTACTACGCGGAGAGGGAATGTCATGAGCAATCCTGGGGAATAAATGTTAGATTCGCGTGTAACGTTACGTGAATATTTTTTGTTTTTTTGCGGAATAGGGTTATGGAGCGGCTTTTGACGCGACGCGCGCCTGGAAAGGCGTGAACATATCAGTGACGTTGCGGCGAGTGTCAATGAAACTAAGGCGATCGATATCATTTAAAAATACGTGTATGGACCGCCGAAGCAACCCGAATTTAACACATCTCCACCCCTTAATGTGCATGTGAATGCAGACGAGACGCCGCATTTGCCGGACTGTTGCTGTTCTGAGACCTGTGGCTGGTTCAGAACCGTGATCTGGCTCGGTTCTGCGGTTCTGTGTGCGTGTATTTGCGGAGGATGGGAGATTTAAGAAAGTCCATGCAGAAGAAGGTCTCGGGAAGACGCGTTCATACATCAGGTGAGTCTGTACTGGCGACCCTTATGAAAATTTACCATGGTAACCGCAGTTTCCGCCTGAATATCGTAGTTAGTACAGTTAGTGCGCTAACGAAAAAACACAATGTTTTTTTTTTTTTTTGGATATTGTACAGGATTTTGTTTTTGAATTACCTCTGAGTACATACAATACCATGGTATTGCCATGTGTCTGTGTTTTTTGTAATAAAACATTTGATCACGATGACCACAGGTTTCCACAGAGAACAAAAAGTACCATGTTTTGCAGATATAGCCTGGCATTCTTTGAAGTACTTTGAGTATGTGAATAATAGGTAATCATTCTGTTTAATATTTCTCTTACAAAAAGTGATGCCATACCATTTAATGGAATTTATTGTACTGCCACTTGTTTTTGAGTCACATGTACATGGTATTACCAATTTTTGCATGTACCAGGTTACTAACATGGTAGCCTATTCTTGGATGTATATTGTCATTGAAGCCTTAAATAGTGAAACGGTAATGTAATAGTTTTTCCACCAGTGTAGTTGCACAAAATGTATTGTTACCATAGTATTCCCAATGTTATTTGAGCGTGGTGCATAGCTGTTTCAAGGTTTTCTTTTAATATTGATAAATTATTTGAATATAAATATATAATGACATTTGTAACTATGATATTTTGCTACGACCTATGGTAACCATATTATATTTGTGTCATTATGAGGTCATACCTTTTACAACCTGTATGAATAACAGTGCGTTTTTGCATTGCTGCAGGCATGTGAGCACAGGCAGCACACCCAACATTTCTTTCTGGTTCATGCCCAAGTGCCTACTGGATACTTTGGTGTAGAGTATGTTACTTCATTTCCGGTGTATGTCATACCTATCATTATGAAACTCGTTCTGAGCTTCTTTTATATATATATATACGACAGCAGTAAGGCAGATCTTGTCTACAATACACACAGTGTGAAATGACTGGAAAGTTCAGAACGTGAGGCTTTTGTTTTAATTCTTAATGGAGAGATTGTGGTTGCGTCTTCAAGGCTGGATGAAGAAGCCCATCAGTGGCTTGAAGGAGCCACTGATGCAAGAGGAAATTACTGTTAATTAAGAAGTGCAGCTTTTATGGACAGTGGTCATTTTGTTGATGTGTCTTCCAGATGAACCTAGGACAGATTATCGACCGATATGGGTTAGTGGCCGATGCCATTATCTAGTGTGCAGGGTGGCTAATGACTATTCTCAGAAGTGAGAAATAAGTTGCAAATAAGAACTTAAAATATTTAAAAACAGAAAAGAAACACTATCCCCATTGATAACAACTGTTAGAGAAACTATCCTGAATTATTAATCTGCTGGGCTGATGTACCGTATCACTGATGTATGATGCTAATGTGCATTTAAAGTAAACAAGTAATCAAATTTGACCTTACGTTTTTAATACACGTTCTTGGTCATATTGTGCATGATTCTCAGTTCATCTCAGTTCATTCGAAAACTCTTTCAGGTCTGGTTCCATTCTGATATGAAGCACCCACTTTAATACAATTAATACCTGATGGGTAAAATCAAATCTGACCATGTTGTTGTTTTGTTTGTTTGTTTGTTTTTGTTTCACTCGGACATAAATCACATTATGCAAAAAAAAATAAAAAAATGGATTGCTAAAATTGTTTCATGTACAGAAAGAAACCCAAATGTTTAATTTCACCTGGAAGTCTGCTAGACTGAATGAGATTGTTCAAATATGTTTGTTTTGAATTAGATAATCTTCACTTGGGCTGCATGATTAATTGTATTATAATTATGATTGCAATCTCTGTTTGTCTCAATAACTTAATCATAATTATTTGCGATTTCATTGATTTATCCTTGTTGTTGTTGTTTTTCCATTTGACATTTGCGTTGTCTTGCCTTGGTAACAAACCTCACAAGCATTCATGCTTGGGGTTGCCAGATGTTAAGAGCTAAAATCCCCTAATCAGAACTTTTCTCCTAAATGGATATATTTTCTGGCCATTAAAGGGATAGTTAGATTATTAATAATCACAATTATAATTTTTGTGCAAATAATCATGACCAACGGTTTAACCATTACTGTCCGTCATCCACCTTGACTAACAAGTAAGAGAATACTATTGAGGTGTAGTTTGGGGTTTTGGAATCGCCTGGAGGCTTCACCACTAGGCCTTTTAAAGCAGTGTCTAATGGAGTCTAATGTAATACTCAACAATGGACTTGTGTCACAACAATCATGCAAATCAAAGCATTGTTCTTTGTGGGATAATGTTCATGTAGAGTAATTGTTATTTTGCCCTGAGTCTTACTTTGCTCAAAATGATGCAATAGACAGAGTTGAGAAATGATTGCAATATTACAGTACACTTCCTATCTGGTGTGTCCTGCAGAAATAGTGATTGAGGCAGTACAGTGCCTTAATGCATTTTTTTTCTTTTGTTTACCGATATCTGTAGAACGAGAGTGTTCAGGGGCCCGTTTCAATAAGGAGGTTCAACCAACTCTGAGTTAAAGCTTGAACTCAGAGTTGACTTACCCTGAGATGGGAAACTCTGAGTTTTCGGTTACAGAACAGCTGAAATGAGTTAGTTCAATCAACTCTGAGTTGACCGACTCTGAGTTAAGCGCTTGCACTACAACTATAAAAAGCCATTATCAATGGAGCACAGATATTATGAGTCACCATGGCAACAGCGTCAGACAAAAAGAGGTGTTTATTAATTACCAAGTAATCTAAATATTGTAATTTAATTAAAGGGATTACTCTTAATTCTTCTGTAATTTAAAATAAAATATGATGCAATTACATTAAATAGGCTACTACATAAACCAATTAAGTATAAAACAATAGTGGATTTAACATACATTTTTAAAAGGTATATTTTTTATGTAACCTTCTCCCTCTACACACTTTGATCAATTCAAGAATAATTCATGCAATTGTATATTGTGAATTTGAAAGAAATAAAAGTGCAGTTTCTTGTCTCTCCTCTTTGTATTAATCAAGTGGTTGAGGTTGAGATTTAGCAATTAGTAATATGTAGACCAATACTTTCTAGAGATAGTAGCCTGATTATTACATTAATCTAACTACACCGTTGAAGATGTCAGTTAATAATTCATAACTATTTTAGAGTAACTTACTGTTATAATATAGTAAACTTACTGTTATTCAACCTAAAGTAGGCTACTATTACTTTGATAAAATTTTACCTAAGTTAAAGTAAAAATACCAGTCTAAAAATCCACTCAAGTAAAAAGTAGTTAATTTAAAACATGAGTAAAAGTTGCTGAGTAACTTGTGGGGGTGGGGGACTCCCCCATGTGGGGAGAGTTGAGAAACATCTCAGAAAATATCACGGTTTATGGTATTAAAAAATTATTAAATATATAAACTGCATTCTTAAATTACGGTTATTATTATCATCAGTTAAAATGACAGTTAAATAAATTAAACATTTGTTCAATAAAACATATCAACTAACTTCAATAATTGATTATGAATAAGATTAACATCTTATTTTTTATCATTAATAACTTAATAAATTATGTTTGAAAAATAAGTGAGTTCTATTAAATGTTTTTTATTCC